TTTGACATTTAAACCTGTAACACCCTGTATAGAAAAAGAAATTAAGAATAAGAAATGTAGAAAGATTCATAGATGTAAACATTGTAAATTAATAATAAAACTTTCAAAGACATATTTTCTTCGCAAGCTGTATCATAGATTTGAAGATGATCTCAATAAAGATCGAAACGTTGGCACGATAAAGAAAATGTTTTTCTGAAACCTACATCACACCAGACCGCGTCTCACGATTTCTAAATAAATAGATTTTTAATTTTAAATTATAATATTAAAGACTGATTTTACATACATCGGAAATAGTTACATATATACGAATTCGTAGGTCTGTTTCTTGTTTCTTTAATCGACAAAGGCAGAATATTTGTATTATTGTAAATAATATCAAAGTCACAAATTAAGTTATTTTTAATTATTATTATTAGGAGCTATTATAATATTTAGCCTCTACAATAAGAAAAGAGTTCCTAGTATTACTTTTTTAAATGTAAATATGTTTTATAATTTGTAATTATGTTATTTTTATTATGATGTTATACCTAATTTAGTGGGGTATGATGTACAAAAATAAACAAACTACATATACAAACAAACACACTTTCTCTTTCTCATTATCCCTATCTTTCTAAACAAAGGCAGTAATACAATGGTTGGATGTGGTATTTTTCTGTTAGATTCATGACAATAGTAAGTTGAAATTTTGAAAATTGGAGCACAAACAACCAGATAGAACCCTAACGATTATGAAAGTAAAAATACGGCTTTTAGACAAAATTCATGAAACAGGCCCAAAGATTTTATCGTATTTTTCGATATAATTGGATAGTATAATGCCATAAACCAACAGTTAATTCTGGTGAACCAATACTACTCCCCGCAGTTTCTACAATTATGATGTTACATTGGGTGTGAAGCGTACGCATGAAATACATGAAAAATGAAAAGGCCCATACAAAAAGAGAGAGGTATATAGATATATAGATAGATGATAGATACATAGATAGATAGAGAGTTTTGAGAGAGAGAGAGAGAGAGAGAAAGAGAGAGAATGAGAAGAAGAGAAAGAGTGAAATTGAAAGAAAGAGAAAGAAAGAATGAGACGTTTTCATGTTGATTAAAATACGTGCCAATATAGATAATGTATACGTGAGCTTATTTAAATAATATGTTAGAAGGTTATTTAATTTAGATTAATGTACTTTATCAATGACTGCAATGTGTTCAAGGTGGGTGGTATTTGCGTTGTCAACTATAAAATCAATTTTTTCACTCACCTCTTAAATACTAAATTTAAGGATAGTATTCAATAATTTTATTTTATATAATATTATCGGTATTTATATTATATTATTGATACAACCGTTGGTCGACTAGTTTAGTATTAAAAGTAAAACTTTTTTTTTCTAAAAAGGATCAACAGTTGATACCCTATTGATCGTATCTACAGCGTGGGAAAGTTTATTCATGGGTTAAGTTGGCGGAATCCCTCTCTCTTATGAAAAAATAAATTTGAATACACACCACTCCATCAACGTTAATCACAAACTTCCAAGATTAGTGTTATAATAAAAAATAAAAGTTATTTAATTAATATCAGAAGATAATCAGTTCAAAATACAAATATTTATAAAGAAAGTCCTGTGGGATTTTTTTTTTTTTGAAAGTTAAAAGTTCGCTTTATAGTAGGCAAAATTGTGGCTTTTGTGAGAAAAAATAGGTAATGATTAGGTAAAAACATAACTTTCTTTACGAGAACAATCTTTCGGGATTGTGAATAAAGAGGGTCATCAGGTGAGTTGAACTTTCTGACAATTGTTCTAAAGCTCGAGGTTTTCAAGTTACCACCATTGCTTTATGACGGGTTTATTGAACAATTACCTTTGAAGAACAATGAACCGAGTTTCAATCGTTGTTTCTTCTTGAAAACAAACAAAGCCGTTAATGGACAATTCGGCCATGGGTATTCAAATGAGATTAGATAAAAGCATACTTAACTTATCTGTAATCTGATATATTTTTTATATCGTCCTTGTTTGATCATATGTCGATGAAAGTCCGTATGTTTAATATAAAGGTTAAACTCGGAATGTGTGAATGTTGAGAGGTAGATTTTCATCTTTGCCATCTTAAAGGGGAGTTGCACATTTGAAGTTTCGACTTACCAGAAAATCTGCATTGGGGCAGGGAAATGGCGTGCCCGTACAGAACTGAGCGAACATCACGAAACCTTCCGCAAACAATATCTTCTTAACTGGGCCGTACCCGACGGTGGAGGCCACCGGTTCGTTTATTTCTTCCATCTGAACGCTGGAAAATCGCTAATCGCTTTTCTACAGAATGGTCGATACGCCTTTTTGCCGCCTTGAACCGCGTTTTAGGTGTTTGGAGTTTGGGAACATCTAAACAGGCCACGGTCGATTGTTACAGAAATCTGTTAACTGATTTATAACTTTTAACATCCTCAATTGAACTGCTTTTAGAATCGTCCTACGTCGTCTAGTTTCATGGGTTCATTGTATCATCGTTACATTAAATATTACTGAGTCGGTTTGCCAACGGATCAGACAAGAATGAAAGGGTATCAGTTTAGCTATCAAAACAAAATCAATTAACAAACCAATAACTGACTCCTTGAACAAAAACCAATTAAAACTACCGTGGGTAATCATCTTACGAATCTGGATCAAGGTATGGTCTTGAAGAAAAAAACAAATTCAATTATTACTTCTTAACAGGTACAATAGTTAAATGTCTTCTGACCATGGTTTTGGCATATTTCAATACTTCAATGAAGTACTCGAGAAAAAAATCAACCGGTATTAGTGAATACAGGTGCCAAAATATCAACCATTTACTATTTGCTCACAAAAGTAAATTTTTTTAAGGAGGGCAGGAATTGATGTTAGGACGATTCAATTTTTATATTATAAATTGATTAAAATAAAGAAATTCACATAAAAAATCAAATAATTTGACATAATAATATTACAATAGCAGGATAACCTACATAAATTTAAAATTAATTACATTACTCGTATTACTTAGAAAATTTATTTTGTATGTGTAGTGTTTAGTGACCGTTAATAAAATTAATGATTTTTTGGAGATCGTGAGATTGTCTTTTGTGATGTAGGTTTAGAAAAATCTTGTCTTTATTGTGCCAACTTTTCGATCTTTATTTAGATCATCTTCAGGACCTAATCATTAAATTTTTTAAATAAATTTAAAAAGGGAAAAAATAAAATTATAAATCTTATAAAACTTGAGAGCTGTTAGTGGTTGTAAAACAATGCTGTTTTAATTTTAGGTAAATAATATTAACATTTTTATTGTTTAATACCTGGGGTTATAATTTTGTGATATTATTATTATTATTAGTGTAGTGTGATATTATTTTGAAAATTATTATTTTTAAAGGAAAAAAATATTTAACCGGTATTCAATTGAATTAATTAACATATTTGCTAACATTTGACATTTGCGATTGTCAGCCCTCAAAAAATTAATGTTTTAGTGTGAGTGCTGGAGATTATTTTTGAGGCAATTCAATTTTTATATTATAAGTTGGATAAATAAAATAACTAATAAAATAATTTAACATAAATAATATTAGGGTAACCCGAATTTTTTTACATTGGTTATATAGTATTTTGTACATTATTTTTTTAAGTAAATTTAGAAAGGAAAAATTGTTCAATTTAAAATTATATATTTTGGAAACCTTGTTACAATGTAATGCTGTTTTAATTGTAGGCAAAATGCCATTAAGATTTGCATGAGACCTGGCGTTATAGTTTTGTAGTAAATATAGATATTATACAAATGAATATATGAGAAATAAACAAATAATTATTTTACGTTAAATACTGAGAAATCATTAAGTAATGCAAACGTATAATAAGTTCGTTCTTTTTTAAATTAATTTTTAAACGGTTTTTTAAACAGCAATTAATGGATTTATATACACATCTTTTGCACAACCCAACCTAACTAAAAATAAACTACGTTTAACAATTTGATATTTAAAAATTTTTCTGAAAAGTAGAAATTTATCGAACTTTTGCTTGTTGAACAATATTGTGTTATTTAAATTTCAAATTTGAATAAAAAATTATTCAAAGATATTTTCATTTATCGACGAATTTTATGACATCACATTTACTATTTTGGTTAACGTTTATCTGATTTATAAGCAGTTAGCCATAATCCTGTTTTAACCGAGTAATAATCATTTTCTAGTTTTAAATAAATAGTTTCTAATGAATTATTTTCAATTATAAATATTGTATCATCCGAAATACAAAAATGTTTTGAATTTAAAGGCTAATATAAAATATCATTAATATAACTTTTTTTAATCAGCCACAGCGCTGCTAACACCAAAAGTCATTGTTAATTCCTCACTAGAAACATAATTTTTTAATGAACTAGTTTGTGGTTATGTAAATGCAATTTAAAACATTTCAGCGATATGCCTCTAAAACTATATTTTTGTATTTTACTTATTAAAACCTCATGGTTAACCCAATTAAAGGCTTTTTGAGATATCTAAAAAAAGTCCAATTTATTTTAGAATTTAAGAAAAATTAATTAATTAATTTTAGAGAAATGAGAAATGAATTGCTTCAACCATTTATTCATTAATGCCTAGGTAGATCATTGAAGCAATTCATTATTTCTTTGTCTGAATCAATCAATTGAAGGAAAGACGATCAACCCACAAAAAACGAAGTGGAATATAAATTTTAGAATAAGTTTTTGTTACATTTGCAACCCACGATTTAATTATATTTGACTTATCAACGCCAAGTCGGTGACAGGGAAACCAATTTAAAGATTGTCCTATCAATTAATTAACGCAGCTAAAAGCTTTAACCTTAGACTTAATTAAATGTAAATTAATTAGGGGCGGTTTCATCTCAATTTGATATCGTTCGCGCAGTTTTTTTAGTTAACAATAGACATTTTGCCCCGAAACCCTCTCAAAAAAGGGTGAAACAGCGCTTGCGTCGGAAGCAACAAGTGGCATAAGCTTTTGCACTTATGATTTGGACTTCGAGCCAGAATCATCTCCTACGATGGTAACGTATAAAAAAACCAATCACAAAGCTTGATAAAAGATATTATTATAAATCAAATCTCATTCAATGATAAAATCCCTTTAAATACGGCTTAACATTAAACAAATCACTGGGTATAGTCAACGTTTATATGAACAACATGGTATGTGTCAAAATGACTGACCTGGTATGTTGGTCAGTATTAATTAGGCACAAAATATGAATTTTGGATATACATCGGTCGTTTTTCCCATAAAGAGTATTTAAATTCGCCAAAAAAATTATTGGTAACCTTTTTTTCCATTTAAATTTAACTGATTTTAAATTTTGAGATTTCTCTGAATGATCAACCTGTAATTTGGTCGTGTCCGATCATTTGGTCAGCCTATCCTCGCAGTGATGCTCTGCTTGAGAATTTCGCCATCTTCATGAGTCTGTGTGATGTGTATTATTCAAAGTATTTTCTTATAAGTTTTCAGGCAAAATTAAAACGAGTAATATCCGTTCGAACAAATAGCCATATCTTAAGAAAAATTCGAAGTTACCTATAAATAACTTTTTTCAAATTTTAGTTGCTAACCTTTGATTACTCTCTTGAAAATATTCGAGATAACTATAAAAATTGTCTTAGGTAATTGATTAACGCTTAATATCTTCTCTTTTTTTCTTCCTGACCTGGTGGATTGGCCAAATTTAATGTGTTAAAAATGATAACATACCAATTTGTCCATTGAATTTATAAATCTTGCCTTTTTACGTTTCAATTGTTTTGTAAGTGAAGAGAATTAGTAAGCACTATGTTCACAACGGTAGAAAACAAAGATTTTGCAATTGAATAAGGAGTCGATCCGCATATTTTTGTTCAAATTTTTTCTACTGTTTGACCTCTTTTTAGGGGTTTAGTTCATTCTATTCTATCAATGTTTTGGAATTTGAAAATGAGCTTGAATTATTAAAAGTACTAAGAGCCAGTATGGAAACGCCAGTTATCTCGCTCTGATATGCAGCCTGCGAGTTGAATACTTTATAATAGTTTGGACTTTTTTTCTTTTTTGTCATTGTTTTGGACTCGGTTGCCTTTTAGCTTTTTTGTCAGCTTGACCGACATTAGTAGGTCAATTTTTTTGGTGTAGTTTTATTTAGCAATTTCTACCTTTCATGTTGAACCGGCACGCGGGCACTACTGGGTCTGTCTTCACCCGCGAGTGAAGACAGACCCAGTAGTGCCCGTGTGCCGGTTCAACATGAGTTCGCCAACTCGCAGACCAAACCCCATCATCTACTATAATTTCTACCTTTGTTTAATGTAATCTATTAACTACTGCTCGAAGACAATACGCGGACATCTAACTGAAGTCGTAACAATTCTATACTGGACGATACATAAATAAATAATACCAGCCAGACTAGGAACATGAGAAAGTTTTTATTTGAGCAGTCTCAAAGTTAAACATTTGTCAACATTTCGTCTTCTTCTGTAAGCTGTAGGGGATTTTTAACAGGACGTATAAACAGGAATGGCGCGAGAGACAATACACAGACATCCCCTGTGGTCGAAATGCCAGAATCATTCTGAACTTAATGAAACAACGAACAAACGCAAATGGGCAAACTTCTGGGAGAAGAAAATTAGTTTGTCAAGTTTTTTGGTTTGTCTATATTTGTTGGCCATTTATCAACAGTTTGAAGTAGTTTTGTAAGATGGCTTTGCCGAGATCAAACTGAAATTGAAACGCTGGCCGAAATCAGTCTGTACTGAACGAAGCATAGAGATCATACTAGTCAGATCAGGGTTAAGGGGAAGTTTTTATTTGAGCAGTTTAAACATTTATCAGCATTTTGATCTACTTTTATTTTCATGTAAGGGATTTTTAAAAGAATTTATAACCATAACTGGTGCGAGAGACAGTATACAGACATCCACTAAGGTGGAAACGCCAGAACCATTTTGAACTTAACGATTCATGCAAAAAGAATGATCAAGAACGATCAACCTTCTGGGAAAAGAAGAGTGGTTTGTTATTGTGGTTAGATTTCTGGCTGGTTTACAAGCTGTTGAACATTTGTCACATTGAACAGTTTGAAGCAGCTTTGTAAGATTGCTTTGTCTGTCTGCATGTTAAGGAAAAGAGAATTGTCGATTCGATTTGAAAAGTGCGTGTTAAACATCTTACTAACGTATCAAGTAGTAGGTATGTTTTTTACATACCTTCTTGTATGTAGGTGCAGGAAATCTGGATTGTTTACAGGATTTATAAACAGAACTGACGACAGAGACATTACACTGACATCTCACTGAAGTTGAAAAAACATGTGAATAGGCGGACCTGGATGAGATTTGACAACAAAACAACTGACATGAGGAAAGATGATTTTACATACTATCACTTTCCAAAATTACCTCCTTATTATCAGTATTTTGTACCCGATTGAATAATATTTAAACACTTTCTTCAACGGGATCTATTCATAATACTTTCTAGAATCGGATGATATCAAAACGACAATAGAAATTCTCCGAGGTTGTTGGACTCGGGACGAATCCATCGTCGACACTGATGGATGGTGGGAAGTCGTTCTCACCTTATTTTCAATGAAAAGACCAGAAATTAAATAATAGGCCGTCTATAGAATAGCACGAATAATTTCACTCGAGCAATTTATGCACAACTTTCGACGGGATGATCCTTACGGTATGTTACGTCAGATTGAATCTAAACGTTACATTTCTTGAGCGTAACGCATCGCGTGCAGGCGTGTGTTATTTTAGTACACGACGGGTTTTACGTAACGTATGTTTTAATTGCTTTTTCACAATTGTCTTGGTCCGATTAATCACATATCACTTCCCTAGAAATTAATTATTTCCAAACTTGCAATATAACCAACCAACCTTTCTAATTCTGGTCTCAAGTTACCAGAATTTTGGGCATATACTTCTGCAATTGTAATTAAAAAATAAAGCGACCCAAATTTCTTCTTGAGTTAAAGCTAAAAAGTCTAACAGATCAGAATGATGGTACTGACCAAACTTCAACCGTCGTATTTGGAAAATGAATCTCTGATCGCAAATTTATCAAATGTTTCCCATATTGATATGATTTAACTTCCTAATTGATTTAATAACCCTAATTCTAACTTAGCTTTTATTGTTGCGGTATCATTAAATTATTTTGTTGTTCTGTTGGTATGGTATGGTGATAAGGATACCATACCAGGAAGCAGGGTTTGTACTCCCCTGGCACTGCAGCCTTCTGGCTTATTGTACCTTCCTAGTTCCTTAGTTCAGTGCTATAGACTCTATCCTTCCCCTTAGAAGTATCAGGTCATTGACTGTCGCTGCTACAATTTCATTCCCTAAGTTGTTCGTATGTTAGGTTGAATCTCCATTGAGCTGTTGCTTCGCATTCGAAGATGATATGGGTGGCTGTTTCCTCCTCCTCATTACATAATCTGCAGATGGGATTATTATTGTATACACCCATATTATGTAGATGTTTTCTCAGATGCCAGTAACAGGTTAGCAGTCCTATCACTCCTCTGAGTTTAGCCCTCTCTAGTTGCAGCAGTGATTTTGCCAGTCTTGGAGAGGGTTGTTTCATCATAAGTTTACTATGTCTAGCACCGCTAAAGTTTGTCTACTTCTCCTTTTGTTTTGTTTGGATCCATTCTGCGATGGAGGATAATCTATATTTGTTTTCGTTATCCCGAGTATAGGTTCGGGGGCCTATGTATGGCCATGCGAATCCTCCTCTGTCCAGTCTGTCTGCTTTCTCGTTACCCAAAATTCCTCTGTGTCCTGGCACCCAAGATATCATCAGGTTGTTGTGTTTCCCCAGGTTTTGGAGATTTTGGATGCATTCACTGGCTTGTTGTTCTGTTAGTTTCTTCCAATTAATTGCCACTGTTATTTTCTTATTCATTGTTGTCTATATGTATATTTCTTTAAAGGAATGCTGATTTTTCTTTACAACCTTTTCCATGCCGTTTTTGGTTGATTTTACTAGTGCCTTTAATCTTGCCATATTATTTACGCCATTAATAATGTTTTGTACAGTTATAATATTGCCATACAGTTATAATATTATTACGAAATTATTGGTGATGTAGTTTTGCTGGTGGTCTGTTTATTGACGAAAATTTGTTCATTATCTGATCATTCCTTAACTGTACTCACAAGCATTAATTAAATTTGATAAAAAAAGAAATTTTTTTAAAAAAGAATTAAAGGTGATGAGTGATCGGATGGTTCGCTGTGTAATTCTCTTTTAGAAAGTGCACTCTCTGACACGTAATAAAAGTGGAAGAGGCGAATTTTCTGTTATTAATCGCACCGCCTCATTGCCATTCTCACAGGGTTTTGAAACTTCTTCCCAGCTTGAATTGGAGAATAATAAAAAATTGTTCGAACGGCTCGGTTTGTAACGATCTCCGGCTTGGCTTCCTAGTCGAAAATCGTTGGGTCTACTGATTATGACGTAAAATTTTTTCCCCGAATAAAACCAATTGTCCAACCAATTCAGCAATTGTCCGAGGAGAAAGTCGATGCTGAACGACCGTCATTCCAGCGTGGGCTGGAAAAGTAAACAAGTTATGACCTTCAGTCGTCATATATGGAAGATAGGGAAAATTGACCGCAGTTTATTGCTCGGCAATTAATTAGTTTAACGAGCTTGCGTTATTGTCACCATAAAATCTTTATTTCTTACTTCTCTTCCCTACTTAATTTTCTACTTTTACCTTCTCACAGAACTGGTGATTTGAAAATTATTCAACCGATTGTGTAAATGCAAATTTCTGCAGGTATGAAGACATCTCGCAATTTGTTGAAATCACATTTTAAGCAGGAATATTTTATTAATTATAAAATTAGTATTCTTAAAAACATTTTGATTAGAATGGGTCCGCCTAATATCGCTTTGATTCTTGCCGGCATTAATCGGATCCAAAACATTGTTGCAGACCTCTAATAAAATTTTGTTCATTCCTCGGCGAATTAAATACCGTTTAAACAAAGCATTTATGCTAAGTAAAACAAAATTTCTTTATCCCACTATGTTTTAATCTCATACCTTAAAATCGCAGTAGTGGTGGAGTTGTTGTGGGAAAGCACTGTTCCTCTTCAATAATGAGTAGAAGTAAGACAAGGACGATTTCACAAGTCATTGAAATTAAACAATAATGTCCAAAGTCCAGAGAATAAGGCCAATGTTGGAAGGTGATAGCTTTTATTTGAAAAAATTTATAGTTCCAAGCATAAATTATCATTTTGCAAAAAAATAAAAATAAAACTGTTTCAAGTAACCATGCGTCCTATTATTGTCTGATTTGTTGGAATATTGCAAATTCCAAAACGATAAATCCATAATACTGTAATATTTAACATTATAATTTCACTAATCTAATGCAATTTCACATTTCTTTTCTTTCTTTCTCATTTTAGTTTTAGCCTATTTGTACTAAAAAAATAATTTTGAGAACTATCAAAGAGTTATCTATTTGTTGTTTTCTTATTACAAGTCAAACTTCGTCTATTTTAATTGTTGGAGATATAAGACAAAATAATACAGCTAACATTTTCAGATTTTCTCACTTGGTCAACTATTCTACAGTTCAATTTCAATAATTCTGAATACATCTTTCTATTCTTTATATTTTTACTTTATATTGCGTTTTAGGTCGATTTATTTGATATTTCTCACATTAATAAAAACAACTACCAGCCAACATGAAAAATTGAGAAACTGTGGTACCAAAGACCATTGTCAGGCCAAGCCCTCAAAAAATGCTAGTGTACATGACTTCTCCAAGATTGAAATGTAAGTCTATCTGAATTAGTAATAAAGCACAATAGTGATGTTGTATTTACAGATATAGGGAAAATCCATGCTCCTGCGACGACAGGTGCATTGAATATGGTGACTGCTGTGAGGACCGGCTGAACGAGTTGGATCACGACTACAAATACAAAGGAATCAAAAACAACTGGACATGCAAGAACATATCCAGCAAAGAGGTGAACTTGATTCAAAGAATTTTTACATAAAGGAATTTTAAAATTATTTCTCTTTTATAGTTTGTATTTATGGTGACAGAATGCAAGAGAAACAGTGTCCTGGCAACATTATGTTCAAGAAAAGGAGTAACAGACTATCATTACATGCTAGATGTGCCAGTTTATAGCAAGAAAACAGGTATTATTCACATCAATTTTAACAAAAATAAATAGTTAAACTGATAAAATTTGGCTTCATTTTTCAGGAATTATGTATGGTAATATATATTGCTCTATTTGTCACAATGATTTTAAAAACTTGGAAGGTGCGAACATGACGATCATGTGTACAGATGAGAGCATTACAATAGAAGATGTAAGATATCTAACACCATCCGAATTAACGACACATTTTAAAAAGTTAGCTTTTAGATAAACAATAGAGGGGAATACTGGCCGGGGATGAACATGTGGACGATTGGAAATGAAACATGCAAAATCCAGACAGAGTGGAATATGAAAATTAAAAGAAGAAAATGTGTTCCATCTGTCAGTGAATGTCCAAAAACCTGGGACAATTGGCTCGTTTCATCAAAATGCAGGGGCTACAAACAATTAGTGCAGGATCAAGATGGCAAGGTTTGTTGTTGAATAAAAACAACATTTATAAAAAGTATAATTTATAAATAATGTAATAAGCATTGTTTATTAATTCATAAATAATGTACAAAATGTTCTCAGTCAAATAATAAAATTTTGTTTCAGATATATAAAAATTCATACTGTGCAGTTTGCAATGGTGTAGATCCCGCCTCCATCCGATGCTGGCACAGACTAGACTATCGCGTATGGCCGCACATTCACCCAAATCCATCCTTGTCAATGATTATGAATTTCAATTGGGATTTCAGTTCTTGCGAGCTGCCAGAAGTTTGGGACGGGCTTTTGTCGTTATGTCGTGACATTTCCTGCCATCACCAGAATCAGCGGTGTCCCATGTCCAACATTTTATACGACAACCTGATCGCTTCACAAATCGAGGGCTATCTCACAATGACTTGCCTCATGATTTCAATCATTTGCCTCTCAATGCACAACATTATATACTATAGCTTGCCAAAACAGCAGAATTTGCCAGCACAAATTCTTAAATCACTTTCATGGTCTTTACTTCTGGCACAGGTGGTTTTTCTCGTCGGTGTAACTCCTGTTATAGAAATATCACATATAGTCTGTCAAGGGATTGCTATCATGGTCCATTTCTTTTTCCTCGCTTCTTTTTTCTGGATGAACACAATGAGCCTAGATATTTGGCGAACATTCTCAAGTTCTTACTTATCACATTCAGCAGCCAGGAGTTACTTCAATTATTCAATCTATGCATGGGGCGTCCCTTTGGTTCTGGTCATGATATCTGTGGTTTCTGATCTTACCAGTGCGATACCAGAAGAATACAGCCCTCAGTATGCCAATCTCCAGGGAGTCTGTTGGTTTGCAAGTAGATTCGGTTTAGTCATATTCTTTTATATCCCAATTTGGTCTCTTCTCTTAGTCAACACTGTATTATTCATTCACACACTCAGCTGTTTTCAAAAACAATCTTACCGTGCAGAACTGGGCACTGCTTCTGGGAGAAAGGAATACACTAGATTTTCGCTCTATCTCAAATTGTGGACAATCATGGGCCTCTCATGGGGTTTTGGCATGGTTGCTTCGCTGGCCAATATTCCAGATTTTTGGTACCCTTTCATCATTCTTAATGGACTTCAAGGTGCATTCATTTTCATAATGTTCGATCTCAAACAGAATATAATGGAGATGGTAATTGACAAATTTAAAATTGACCTTCCTCAATTTAAAAAAGGAGTCTCAACCCAAATAACTAAACTCAGTTCTTCTTCGTTGTTTTCAAAAGACACTGGAACTAAAATTTAATTTATTCATAGGTAAAACAAAAATATTTACAAAATTAATTGACACATAACACATTTAACATAAAAGTTTTCTACTATTTATGTCTTTTATGCATCTAATGTAGTATACTAATAATAACATGAAACTTATATTTGAAACTAATATTTTACTGTTTTTAAAGTAATTTTATAAACGTTTAACAAAAACTGAAATATAAAAGTTTTAACATAGGCAGAGCTTTTAGAAATCAGATAAGCAAGCATTTACAAAATAACTGGATAAAAATTTTAATCATCCTTCTTTCGTACAATGAATAATTCAAGCTTTTATGAACAATTTCAATTCAATTCTGTCTTAGTTTTGAAAAAGAAAACTAGTTTAAAATTAGGAAAATGATTTTGAAATATGCAAAGCTTACAGAAATATTTAACAAATTAAATAACAAAACCAAGAAAAGCTGCAATATATTTTAAATTTATTTTTCTATAGATCTATAGATTTTTATCAAACAATGGGGACTTTTTTTAACAGTAAGATTATTGTTTTTTTGAATTTTTATAAAGCAGGTGTTACATTTACTTTGAACAACATTTATGATAGCATATAAAATTCATATATTTATTAAACAAAAAATATATAATTTAACTTCTTTCCACCTTTTTTTATGCATCCAGCAATTAACTTGTTCTTTGATCTCATTGTGCTATCTTTGTTTGCATTCAGTTTCTATAGGTTCTAGATCCTTATGAATAATAGAATCTTGCCAGTCGATTGTTTTTTATTTAAAATATATTATTTTGTTTTGTGTGAATATGCCTTTCTTTTGCCGTACAGTCCCTTATTAGCTATATCTAAAATCTGTTAATATTGCTGAAATAAATGATGTCTGAGAAAATGCCTTGTAGATCGTGTATGCAATATTTTTACCTTATCAAAGCCCTGCTCATTTTATTAATCATTTTCACATTATGAATTATTATTTGTTGAAAAATATTGTGTTCTCCTTAACTTTTTCCATTCCAGTGTCAGCTAGTCAGATTGAGGCTTGTTTACCACAGTTTTGTTTATCCTCCGTTAGTGAATAAACCTTTTATTTTGCTAATTTCTAAAAGTTCTTTGACCATTAAATACATCTTTAAAATTTACAGTATACACATATGTATGTATGCATTCTGAGAACAAATCTAAAAATAATTTCCTACACTCATGCTGAGACTGTTGCTAGTCTAACTCCATTATTATTATTATTATTATTATTATTATTATTAGCCATATTATGGGAAATGTTTAAATTATGGAACAAAAATTCAAAATTCTAATTTAAAAAACAGGAATAAATTTAATATGTAACTTAAAATGGGATTTTTGCATACATTTGGCCTTCCAAATTAAGAATTTTAAAAGGATAAATTAAAGCTTTGGATGACAATAGGATAAATTAGTTTATGAGTGAATGTTTGGAGTCAGAGCTTTATAGCACTCAGAAGCTAACCTCAGATAGAAGGTTTGGTTGTTAGGGCGTAAAATGACCTTAGCCGTTAAAACGTCCTTAAAAATAAATAATAATAATTAAGTTGAAATTGAAAAAAGTACTGATGTGCTAAAATCTATTATTTAAATTGTTGAACCGGCAGTGGGTTATTTACTGGGGTCCATCTTTACTTGCCAGTTAGTAACCAATAAGAACACTCCGGATTAATGTCTGTTCTTGCAGAAGAAAGCAAATTTAGTTGCTACTGTCATAACTGCTTTAGTTGCTACTGCTTTAATATGAAAAATTTATGCAAGTATACATTTGAGAGCAGTAATTGCAAGATACATTTAAAAAATCAAAATTTCAACCGTTAAGCCATTTTATAACTGTGCAATTATAATAGATTTGTATTTAAAAAATCAAAATTTCAACTATTAAGCCATTTTATAGCTGTGCAATTATAATAGATTTGTATTAAAATATTTGCTTTACTATCATGTCAACATGCCAATATATATCAAACAATTCAAAGGATTTCATTCAAGCTTATTTATTCATAAATTAAAGTTCAATATATTCATTACATTCTTTAATAAAGATGTGTTTCAAGCTTACATTGTTACAATTGTTGTTATATATCACTCTCGATCTCAATCTCCCTCTCTCTTTTCCTTTTTCTCTCTCTTTCACTCTCTCCTGCACATCTCACTCTCTCTCTCTCTCTCTCTTTCTCTCTGTCACACTCACTCACTTTTCTCCTTCATTTCTCATACGCTATATCTATCTTATCATTAACTTATGCATATCTTTTGTTTTTGCTTTCTCATTTACTCTTTCCCACTTACTTGCCTTTTTTTAAATATTTTTCCTTTTTATTTTTACTCACTTCTCTCCTTCTCTCCTTTTATCTAAAAATTTAACCTTTTGTCTTTATATCTAACTTTGGTTTGTTGTTACATGTAAAATCTATGTAAAACATAATTTATATTTTAAATTATTTTGGTTATAAATAACAGTGAGGCTAAACAACTGTACTATAAATTTATTATTTTGCAGACTTCCCCAAGGAATAAAAACTTATGCTCTAGTTTGCTAGTTTAAAAGTATGTTAATAGTTATTTAGGTATTCACTTTTTTTAATGAATGGATGAAGGAATAATCAGCAAAATTGCTGATTCCAATCTTTGAGTTAATTTTGATTTCAAATGGTACAAATTGAAATGCAAAACATATCCTATGAACAATTTTTTATTGGCTACTATTTTCTCCTTACAAAGTGCCATCCTTCGAACAATTTAAGAAATGTTACCATTTCCTTTTTTTAACTTCATTCTACACTGATGGACAAAATTAACACACCACTCAATTTATTTATTTTAAAATTAAATCCATTGTTTACAGGTAATTAGGTTACCTAATTAATGTAATGATATAATGATATAAAGTAATGTAATGATATATATTTATTGTTATATATTATAATACAATATACAGGGTGTATCAACTTCTACACTCAACCCATTTAATTCGGAAACGATTAACTTCAACTAAAAATGGTCTACAAACAACTATTTAATTTTGGCTAGGAATCGCGTGGTGGTAACAGATGTAACATAACTTTCTCTTCTAGGGAAATGCGATTCTAGAGCTTATTTTATGGTACTTTTACTGAAAGGAAAATTTTGATAGGATCGACCGTTTCTGAGTTATGCCCGACGGAAGACGCGTGAGGGGGTATTCTTTTAGTAACAAAAAATTAATTTGGGGTTTGTATAAAACCATTTTGTGCTAGAGTTAATCGTTTTCGAAATAAACCGGGAGGGCTATCTTGTTAAAAGCAGCATACCGCCCACGCGTCTTCCGTAGGGAATAACTCAGAATTGGTCGATCCTATCAAAATTTTCCTTTCAGTAAAAGTGCCATAAAATAAGCTTTAGAATCGAATTGTACAATAAAAATATGGTATTCTCATTTAAAATAGCGAAGTTAGTGTCATTTCCCAGCTAGATGAGAAAGTTACGTTAAATCTGTTACCACCACGCGATTCTTAGCCAAAATTAACTTGAGGTTTGAATAAGTCCATTTTTTGCTAAACTTAGCTGTTTTCGAATAAATGAGTGGACTATAGAAGTTGATACCCTGTATATAAATTAGGTTAATTAGGTAATAAGGTAAGTTTACTTTTGCACAGATTAATCCCATTTATACAAGACGTAGTAGCATTGTGCTCTTCCATTCTGCTATGCCTAAAGAGTGCTTTCATTTTATCTTTTTACTTCATTTGGTATTACATATTCTTATTCTTAAACCATTTTCAATGGCTCCAGTTAGGCATGTGAGTGAGTACGATAGTGTCAGGGTCATAACATTGAGAAAGGATACAGCCAGTACGAAGTCGCCGGGAGACTGATACTGTACAATTAGAAGGTTTATTCGGCACTTCAGAGAAACAGGGCTTCACATTGGAAGGCCAGGGCACGGTCGATCTAGGTCTACAGTCATGAGAGACGATAGATTCATTCGTCATCAGGCTCTAAGAAGCTGCAGCATTACGGGAAATAAAAAAAGAAATCTGATAAGACAATTCCAAAATGTTTCGATTTCTCTCAGGACTGTAAGAAGTAGGCTCAATAAAAATAACCTCAGGGACCTGCCACGGCTCGTGGACCTCTTCTCACCACAGCTAAGAAAATGGCCAGGCTTCAAATCGCACGGGAAAATATGAATTGAACATTGGAAGATTGGTGACGAATTCTTTTCACAGATGAGGTAAGAGTTTGCCTCAAATCTTCAGATGGGCGTAATTTCTTAAGTAGATGCTCAGGAGAAAGGTACGCCCTATGCTGTATGGTTCCTCATGTGGCATTCCACGGTGGGTCGTTGATGTTCTGGGATGGCATTTCCTTGGACGCCCGCACCGAATTGGTTGTTGTGCGAGGAAGATCTCTAATTTCACAGCGGTACTTACGAGACATACCGAAGAAAATGTAATGCCATTTGCCCCCACATCAGCGAGAGATTCTTGCTAATGGAGATGCCAGGACCCAGGCAGCACGTATTGTGAATGACTATCTGAATGAGGATGGAATTGAGTGCTTATTGTGGCCAGCTCGAAGTACACACATGAACCCAATCGAACGCATTTGAGACCAACTTAAGCGACGAGTACGACAGCGAAACCCAGGTCTTACACCCTAGAAGAGTTGGAAATGGCTGTTCTTGATACTTGGGAAAGAATGCCTCAGGATTTTCATTCCATCAGAAATCTTTTCCAAGGAATGCAAAGGCGTTTGGGATGGAAATACTTGGTATTAAACCTCAGATGGCATTCCACGGCGGATCATTGATGTTCTGGTGTGTCATTTCCTTGGACGCCCGTACCAAATTGGTAGTTATGGTAGAACCATCACAGAGGTACTTACAAGACAGAATTAAAAACATATGGTGCCATTTGCTCCCCACTCGGTTGCTAATGAAGGATTATGCCAGGTCCAATGTCATAGAGCACGTATTGATGATGACTATGTGAATGACGCTGGAATTGACAGTCAGTTGGAATGTCAACATTTGAACTCAATCGCAAATATTTGAGACCAACTTAAGCGACACGTACGACGACAAATCCCAGGTCTTAAGACCTTAGAAACGGTGGAAATGGCTGTTCTTGATGATTTGGAAAGAATGCCTCAGAAATCTTTTCGAAGAATGTAAAGAAGTTTGAGAGACGTGATTGGTGTCAGAGGTGGAAATACTGGTATCAAAAGGTGCACATTTTTTTTTTCAATTTTATTGGTGTAGTAAACATTTTCTTTTTAGATGTCTTATTTTTACAACCAAACCTATTTTTGGTATTCAAAATATGAATACGTTAAAATTTAACGGTCGTGCATTCATTTTGTCCATCAGTGTAGTTTAGGTTTTCATTTTTAAATTTTTTAGGGTTATTGAGTATTTAAGTCCTTCATAGATGGTAGGATCTGACCCAATTTGGTAACCCCTAACTCTGTACCTTATTGTCATATGTTATTCATTTGGTAAAAAAGCAAATAGATCATACACATTATAGGTGCATTGTAATCATTGTCGATATTCCGGTATCGACAGCAATAGAAGTACAAAGGGAGAATTGACAGGCGGAATGGACGGTTTGACAACCATGAAGGTGCCCTAATAAATGGCTGATCCACGATAGAATGGATACGTCTTCACCTGGGAGGGTGAACGCACTTGGTGCCACGTCCGCGTTGGTCGATCCCCTCCGCGGCTATCGAGTCTCTCCCACTTCAACAACTTCCAGATCCGGTCAGAAGTTCCAGCCGTGCCCAACGCCATGGCTTGCCTCGTCCTCGTCCTTCTTTTGCTCCTGCTATGCACTTTCGACGTCTTCTACTATCTGAGGATCGTTTCGACGATCTTCTTCGGCCGTCTCTTCCAGAAGAAGTTCAAAGTCACCGACACCTTGACCCTCTACGGTAAGTACGAGCGATATATCGTTAAGCAAACACGTATTATTCTATACTTTCACTATAATTTCAAATTAATTAAATATTTCATAAGTTATTTTTAAATGAATAACGTATGTCAATAAAGTTAGGGGTTTTTGTTATTTGTTGTTCAACTCTGTATTTGTCAGTCATTACAGAGTTAGGGGTTTGCAAATTGGGTCAAATTCTACCACCTAAAAAGGACTTAAATTTTCAATAACTGAAAAATTTAAAATTTAATTTTCAAAATGAAAAGTGTAATATTCATAAATATTTTAATTAGATTTAAGGAAAGATCTCTTCATTTGACGCAATAGATTATAAATAGTATAGAGATGGTTTTCCACGAAATGAAAATGCTTAAAATCAGTTCAGTGACAACCTAAAGATGAAATTTTCAAAATTCAAAACTGATTTTATTAAAGAAATCATCTAAATGCACTACTATTTTTGGGATTTTTCAGGTTCTTCTAGTTTTAATGTTTGCTTCATTTAGCAGTTTCAGATCCAGGATAACATGATCAAACTTTAGGGATTTCTAGACTGATTTAGCAAGGTGATAAAATTTAAAATGCAACAAAAAGGTATCCAGGGATAAACGTCGAAGCTTTAGATTAAAATGAAGTTTACATCAAAAGTTTAAATTTTCTCAATATAACACAAAACGTAAAAATACGTTAATAGAACGAAAACGCTTAAAAATTAACAAAAAAAGTTAAGTGATGCTTTAAAGCTTTAAAAGCCTTGCTTTAAATAAGAACAGAAATATATGCACATTGGTTAGTATAATGTCTTCATTTTTTATTTATTAGGGACATAAGAATCTAGATGACAAGGTCATACTTTTATAATACTCAATAATACTTTATAAGTTGAACTAATAATACGGAAAATACTTAAAACCCGTAGAAAATTGTTTGGGTAAAAACATGGATTAATGCCATTTGTATTGTAATATTTTTACTTGTATTGTATTATTGTATTGTAATATACTGTTTTAATATAAAATTATACAAATTGGAACGGTTTTTAAAATAATTTGAAATTATTTCGCAGGGTTTTTTCATGTTTACTCGCCTGTTTTTGATTCTGGCTAACATGTTTTAATTGTAAAATATTCATTATTGTTCTAACAAAGTTAAAACGCTTATGGGTCCGGCATATAGAGAAATGTTACTCCATGTGTCCCACCTAATTGAGGGATGCAATAACCCCAACTAGGGCTCCCTATAGATGTAGGTAGGGAATGTATTTATTAGCGTGAATGTGTAATGTGAGCGGGTCGATGGCGTCGTCGTCTTATATTGAGTCCCCCATCCTCCCTCAATTAGGTTAGTAATATAATTTGTTAGGGTGTGATGGAGGAATATTGCGTAGCAAGAGCACTGTCGATAAATAGCCCTCGGAGGACTTGACTAGATGAAGGGTCATCCTCACTTGATTAAGGATAGTCCGTGCGAGATTGGCAAACTGATTCTTCCTTTTGGGCCGAAGCCCGTGATAGTGTACGTCACGCAGATAAAGGTTGCTCGATGTGACCAACTAATTGTGTGAGTACATTTCATTGGCTCCATATAGAAAGCGTGTAGAAATGCTGTTTGTTGAAGAACTGCGGCAAAGAATAGAAAATGCATCAACCCATCTCCTCTGACACTTACGCTCTGAGAACCGGTGAAGAGTGGTTAAAAAAAAGCAAATCTTTGCAGCTTTACGCAAGGCAGGCAGTTCGTACATGAAATGTGATTGATAAATAGCAAACCAAATGACTGTTTTTTTAAAAACTTTTTGCCATAACTTGGACATTTTAAAATCCATTGTTTTCAGCGGAAAAAACCCTTTAAACTGGGGGCACCAGCCTCCCCTCTTCATATCGAAATCGATATCGATATAATAAAAGGATTTTTGAAATGGTCGTAAGTTCCTGAAAAAACACCAAAAAAGATCTTAAAACAAGCGAACAACCAAGAAGAAAGAAGAGAAGAATAAACCTTTAAAATGATGGCAGGATTTATAGGGTCGTATTTGAAATTTTGAATTTGAACTGTCCTGAGGAACCCTTTATAATTTTTCCCCAAAAATAAGGTAAAAGTTTAAAGCTAGTCTAATAAAATATCAAAAACTTTTTTTTTATATCGTCATTGGTTCAAAAGAAATTCAGCCGGGCCATCTAAAAAGGATACCCTTTATAGTAAAGATAATTTTGATCCTTTTAAAAAGATAGTTCTACTCACAGTAAGTTGTTTTCCACGATTCGAATTTCGAGCTTACAGCTCATCCTCAGGTTGAAGGAGCCCAAATTTCAATCTGATGATGAGCTATAAGCTCGAAATCCGTATCGTTGAAAACAACTTACTGTAAGTAGGAACTATCTTTTTAAAAGGATTGAATACCGCACTCACTCCACCATTCATAATTTCTAATATAGTTTTGTCTCCCCAGCGTGTTTTGAAAGTGACTGTATTTATTAACGTGAACGTGAAGTGTGAAAGGGATGATTACGTAATAATGAGTACCCCAACATTAGGTTAGTTATATAATAGGTATAAAGGGTTGATAGAGGAATATTGACTACTCCACCACCTTAACTGAATGAATGGTAAGTAAATAAGAAAGAATGTGTTTAAGAATGAATGAGAGTGTGGCTGGGTTTGGATCTAGCACTACATGCCTTGGAGAAGAAATGATCTAGCGTCCTAGCTGTTGGTAGTCCTTGGAGCCTAACTTCTTTTGCTGGACGCATTGAGGTCTGACTCCGGACTGATTCTCCAGTCCTGCAGGTAATTTATTTTTGGGTCTCTTGGGTAAAGCCAGGCTTCAGGGCTGAAGGAAAACAGGACGAGGTAAGAGAAAAGTTCAAAATGTATTAATTTTAAGTGTTATGAAACGTGTTTTGTTTAGTACAAAATTAACTCGATATTAATGTTATACTCGTCCTGTTTTTCTTTATTTCCCACAAGTTTTATAATCATCACATGATCATAATATTAATATTCTCTGCTGGTTTAGCACAGTGACAAAACGTTAAAACCCATAGAAAAGTGTTCGGAGATAAACTGAACGAAATCGGATCCAACTAATTTTAGATCAAACGGAATTTTACTGAAAATACACGCTTGATGACAAATTTATCCTGCCAGTCGACAATTTTATTTACGGTAGAAAGACAAATTTTAAAAAATCTTTATTGTTAATTTAACTCTTCAATTGGGTATATTTATTAAATTTATTCTGCAGTTCTGTTATTTTTCATTATAAGTAGAAAGTTCTGTTAATCCTGAGTAAAATGAAAGTTGAGAACTGTTTGGAAAACATTTTCTTAAATTTTACACGTCCTTCATATAAAACAAGTTAAATTCCGTTACCATTTACTTTATAAATTAATAATCAACACAGTTTACTAATCTTAAAAATTGAACTTTAAAACAGACAAATATTTCAAATATAGATATAAAATATAGTTCAGCAGATCGACTGTTTATCTTTCACATCTGTACAATGATTATGATAATCAGTATTGATCGAACCGATCACAGTAGGATATCGATTGCATCCTATATTACGAGGAAGGGTGGTCATAACAAGTCCTTCCTTTTATTCCTTACTTCTTGGCCACCATTTGCAAGATTACTTTCCACGTATGTCATATTTTTAAGCTTTAAAAAATGAATTTTTACTGGTTCTAATAAAAAACCAGCCATTTCTATTCAGATGTTGTATTAAAAGCATAATTAGCGGACAAACAATAATTGTCGCAATGAAAATTATTGATATTAAGACAAATTTATAGTTTAAAAAAAAACTTTCGTTCCATCACGAAATTCTGGACTTGAGCTATCTCAGACACAGAGTGAAAATCAGCAACACATCTTTCGAAGTCATTAGAAAGAATTTGCAGTACACAACAAACCGAACTAAATCACAAATGGGACCATTTAACGACCCTGCTAGTCGAATTATAGCATAAATATTTACGACAACCAAACAAGCAATTTGTAACGAATAAATAACTGCAGCTGTAAAGGAAATTATTCATTAATGAATATAAATAAAAACATTTTCTCAGTGACAGTACAAAGTTAAAGGGCAAAAATAATGTAACTGAAATTAATGCAAATGTAAAAACAATAGTATTCAATTTAAAAAAAAAATGTATATGCTTTTTAATCTTTAGAATATAAGATATTGTGTTTCATCCTAATTTCACATCATTGTAGTTTTCTAAAGTACCATTCTTGAAAAAATGGCGTAGACGGGTCATTAAGGGTATAAGGAGGGAGAGGCAAGGCCAATGTTAAGCGTGAACGAAGTTCAGAATGTTTAATGCTGCATTTCTTTACTTCCAATTAACAAAATGAGACATTTTACTTTTAAACCTTCAAATACGAATCGGGCTGTTAGGAATTCTCGAACCTCCAAGACCGTTTCTACAAGGAAAAATGTTTTTATATTACCTTCAAATATTCAAATAATCCTTCATTACTACTATCATTGTTGCCCTCCTGGACTACCCTAACAAGTTCGGATTCTTATGCAATTTTCAGGAATTATGCGGGGTGCTTTCTAGATGATCCCATATGAATTGTATTCCAAGCTGATTAACATATGCACATAGGATTGCTTAAACTGTGAGAAAGCTAAATTTAAAAAATATCGAGAAGGAGACTTTAGCTTTGAAGTCAAAGAATATCGTGGAATGATTTCTTCCCTAGATAATGATGTTCTGCGAGCTTGGCATCCCAGAACAACCGTTCAAGAACTTGCAGTGAATCTTTCAGTTTGGAAATCGACCATCGCAGACCACCTTACGGCAATTGGAAGGGTGGTTCCTCATGCATTAAACGACTGCCAAAAAAAATCATCGTTATGAATTTGCGCAACACTTCTTTGCCGAAACAGAAACGAACCTTTTCTGGATAGAATTGTTACTTGTGATGAAAACTAGATTCTGTTGTATCTTGGTTATGAGGTTCTGCCTCACCCACCTTATTCTCCAGACCTCTCGCCTACCGACTACCATTTTTTTTCCGGCACCTGGGCGACGTTTTACAACATAAAAAATGTATTGATCAAAAGTCGTTAGAAAATCGTTTACAGAATTAGTTAATAATAAAGTCTGAAAGTTGCCATCATGTTGGAAGAAGTATATTGAGTATGATGGAGGGTATTTTAATTAATAAAAGTTGTTTAAAATCATTTATTTAATTGTTTTTATTCTATAATCATAAACCTGCATTATTTTCCAGACAAATCAATAGTTGCAAGACATTGTGTTGTTAATCAATTCAGCCAGTTATTATTTTTAATTTATTAAAAAGTTTTCTTCTATTTCACTGAAGGTGCTCGGAGACTTTTATTACTAAGTGTATTATCACAAAGATTAAAAACGTGCATATTGATGATATGATATGATTTCTAATAGTGTGAAGCATAAAAAATTACCGTTTTTCTTGCTAATTTAAAAATAATTTTATTTGGGCAGTTTTTTTTTGTTTTTTTTTTTAAATATTCAAAGTATGTACAGTTGTGTTCTATGGTTTGTTGCCATCTCGAGGCCAGGTTCTAGATTCCTTCACAATACCACCCTTTGGGTTATGAACGGAAGAATTCTACAACTCCATTTTGAACCTCATCCAGAGTTTTCCCTTGAAGATAATGAGCCATTGACCGGAACAGATTGTAGTCGGAAGGAGCTAAGTCTGGTTTGTAAGCAGAGTGAGGATTCCATCAAAGTCTGTAATTTTTTATTCGTGTAGCGAGAAGTGTGCGGTCGGGCGTTATCTTGTTGAAACAAAACACGATTTCGATTTACCAATCCTGGGTAACGCTGGGTAAAAACATTATACATTTTTTCTAACTGCTCACAATAAAGTTTTGAATCAATGGTTCGACCTTCTAGAATGAAATCGTACAGAATTATGCCTTCGTAATTCCAAAATACAGACAGCATTGTCTTTTTGTAGAATTGTCCTTGTTTAACGACTGGGTAGAGCAGGCTGATTGCAGTTTAGCCGTTCTTTCTTGGTCTTGGAGTTTCTCCAATATATACACTTTTCATCGCAAGTACTTACATTTACTTTTAATGAACCGAAGATCATTTGAGTTTTTCAAAAGAAATTGACAAATTTCTACACGACGTCGTGCCTGGTAAATGGTCAACTCATGAACCACTTTTAATAAGCGGTTCACTTTTCCCAGATTCTGCAGTCCAAGATTTATAGTGGATTGGAATACTCCAAGCTCTCTTGCAGATTCCCGAGTACTTTTCGTTGGGTCTGCTTCAACAGCATCCCGCAGAGTTTCCCCATTGAATGATGATTTTTGTCCAGAACCCTCTTTCCTCCCGAGGTTGACGTCAGCAGATCAAATTTCTGGAACCGTCTGCACACTGTCCGTTCGCAGAGAACATGCTCTTCATCAAATTGCCCAAACGGGTTGTTTCGGCAGCAGAAAACAGGCGATTACAATTTCAAAAAAAAGGAAATCGATCATTTTTTATTACTATCACCCTATTACTATCATCATTTCAATATTACAAACTAAAAGTATTTTTAAAAATCAGCTTTGGTGAAGAATGAATAGACAAAAATTAATTCATACAATCGTGACTAGCTTAAATGAAAACAATGACCATATTTTATCAACGGATTATTAAAAAGGCATTGTATCGTTGACAAACAGGAAAAGTTTTTATATTCATACTTATTGTTTGTTAAAATGTATTTTTTTTATCTCTTCCTTTTGTACTTATCCTTAACTGGCAGGAGTGATGCGTTTTTGATTCCGTCTGGATTATCTGTACAAATTAGCCTATTTTTCATACAGTACCGACCCTGCTCGTTCAGGCTTAAGACGCCTCTGCCAAGGTCTCAAGGTCTTCTAGTACAGAGTGTTTTTCGTTTTAATGACAAGATTTTTATTGTCTAGGAGACTATTTTTCAAATTTCAATACATGCTTCTACAGACAGTTGATTAAAGTGTCTCCTCCCTTGTGCTCTTTTTAGTTTGCCTTTTGTGTACTTCAACCTTTTGTGTCCGAGAGACTGTTCCGATCCACTTCCGCTTTTGTGATGAACACGTATCGCGTGGCACGAATCGCATTTCATCAGATGTGTCTCGCGAATCCCCCTGGGAATTTAAACCCGGCGGGGAATCGGATGGTATTCATCAAGTGTATTTTTGGAACACGGCAATAATAGCAACACGGCCATACAAAAAGCGTTGGTTTCATTTCAAAATAATCCCTGGGTAATTTTCCAGTGGGGTTCAAGGACTACCGCTCCGAGAGTTGTAACGTTTGGAAAATAACTGAGAAAAGTTCTAAAAATAAAATCCCATTATATTCAAATGACTACCGATTCTTGATTCCATCGCTACACATCTGGGATTTTAAAAAGAATATAAAGTCCCTTTAAAAAGATATTTCTAGCACCACTTTCCTCAAATTGCTTTCATCTGGTTTTGCAATTTCAAAATAACTGACCGATTATGTACTAATTTCCAATGATTTTAACATAAACTTCATTCGAAAGTCTTTTCTCAGACTGATCAATTTTATAAACTACTATGGATTCATTTCTTCCATTATTTGCATATTAAGTGTATTATATTGATTGTTGTTATTAACATATTTGAATATGGTCATATGTTGATCCTTAAACATCAATTATGTTCCAACATAATTTTTGCAACTGTCACTGAAGTACGGTCACATCAATAAAGTTGCTATTGTTTGATAGTTACCCTAATCTGGGGATGGATAACTATCACACAATAATCAAGGTAGCAGAGACGTTAGCATGATAGACACTCGGCTTGTAGACCCTGCAGTCATGGGTTCGATTCCCACCATCACCCCTTTTTGTCACACAACCCTTCACCCCCAAAAGATACACACGTTCTTTAGCTTACAAAAAGACCCACAGACCACAGAGGAAATCTCACAATAAAGTTTCTATTATTTGATAATTACCTACCATCCTGATCTGCCTATCTTAGCTAATTTGTGTTAGTTCAGGAGTTTTGGCTATTCGTCATCTTCAGCATTTCACAGAACTCACCCAAACCAACTGAAGATGGCGAAAAGCCAAAACGCATCTTAACTAATAAAGATCAACAAGGTTAAGCACACCTGTATGATGGGTAACTATCAAATAGGTTTATTACCCCGCAGACCACAGGAGTAAATCTCACAATAAAATCTTTGGCACATGGCAGCGAAGCCTTAAATTTAATTAAACAATTTTATATTGAGTTTTGTTAAAATGAACAAAATTAAAACGTGCAAGCTAAAGGAAATTATCAGATTGCAATGTTAGTAAGTTAGTTCTTCCTAGTGATGCAATCAGCACTCTTCCCCTCCAACTAATGATTCAACAGTCCTAAAAAAACAGGGTATGTTTTACTAATTTTAAATAATTTGAATCACATTGTAAATTTTCAACTTGAACTAAATAATTTCCATATCATTTATTTTTTAGGTACTAAAAATCTTGTTAAAACCATCAAAATTCATGTGATCAACCATGAGAGATTGCCTTTCTTACTGGGGATCGCAAGTCATATTAACTCCTGGGGTGTTTTTTTTTTTTTTTTTTTTTTAATGAATCCTATTTGCAAGTATGTTGGGTTCGAATTCATGGCGCTGAAATTGCACATGAGTCTGGTTGATACCTTAACCATCGCAGCCACCAACACCCCTGGACCTAAGCTTCAGTAAAAATAATTAAAAACCCATAAACATGGTTCAAAAGTAGCAGTAACAGAATTTGGATAAAAAGTTTACATTATGTTTAAGATCTGCAGATTTGACAATTTCCAGTACCTACACAGAATTCACATATTGCAATTTTTCCTCTAGTCAGTTCAAAATTTTCAGACTAATTCAAATGTTTCAAATATTTATTAAAGGAATCATTGTTGTTGTGGATCAAAGGATTGTTGATATGATTCCATGTAAACTTTAATTGGTTAAAAAAAGAAACATTGTGAGGTCAATGCAAGTTGAACAGGCTCTAATTTCCCAGATCTGCTTATTTTCGTTGGCATGGGTCTGCCAGATAGATTTTGGCATTTTGTGTCTCAATGAGTAGGTCTGTGTGTTATTTTGTTAATAAATGTATAAACGAAACAAATAAAACAGGAAGACTATGATGATCAGAGATGTCAATAGATCATCTCTGATATTGTTCACAGAGATAGTTTAGGCCTTATAGTAAAATGTTATATTTTATTGATGTACAAATTGTGCAAATGCAATAAAAATTGGATCACAAATAATATATAAAACAGTTTGATGGTTCACTTTTGTTAACATTTATTTGCTTCCATTAATTAATTTTACAAAACTTCTAGGTTTCTGCTTCACCCAAGATTTGGATCTCGTGTTCAAGCATATGAACAATGCCCGATTTGTTAGAGATTTGGATTTTGCTAGATTTCACTTCTATGATAGAACCGGTCTTTATGAGGAGATGGTAAAGAGGAAGACTGATGCTTTGCAGGCCGCTACGAATATCAGGTACAGGAAGGTAATACCGATCTTCACCTTCTACAGGATAGAGACTAAAGTGAGTAAATTACTACATTTGTTGGTTTTATTTGTCATTATAAAATATTACCGTTCACAGATGATATACTGGGAGGACCGATCGGTCTACTTGGAGCACAAATTTGTCACCAATGACGACTTCATCCGAGCGATTGTACTCAGTAAGGCGACCATGAAAGAAGCCCCGGTTGACGAAGTCATGGAAGCACTCGAAGCTGGCCCAAGGCCTGAGCTTACCAAAGATTTGGACTTCTGGATCAAGAGCATGGAAGCATCCAGCGAAAAATTGAAAAGCGATGCCTCCAGCAAAAAGACTGATTGATGAATAATTTTTTGAAAATTCATTTATTTTTAAGGCAGATGTTTATGTTTTTATTTAAAGCTTTTTTTTAAACAATCATGTTCTTAATGAATACCTCCCCTTTTTATTATATTATAAAACATAAAATAGAAGTTTTTAGTAGCAATGATTAAATTTATAAATGGATGTGTTATTCAATTATATAAACATTTGTGTAACATTATTAAAATTATTTTTTAATGATTTCAAGTAATTCTTGACATCTTTTTTGCCCTTATTTTTAATTTTTTCATAGCTCATTCATTCTTTTTTTTCATTTTTCTTTTATCAGACATATTTACAAAATTAAATATCAAATTCTATAGAAAATATCAATATTAAAACGCTAGATTAAACAGTACTTTTAAAACATACCAGATCTTTGTACTTATGATTAACAGTTCAATGTTTGCATAAACAACATTTTTGTAATCTAGATCACATAAATTAAAAACATTTAAACAGTTATAAAATTATACAACTACATATATTGTTTTACAAAGGTAAAACACCCAAGTAAATATTTACAAAATATTTATGATCACAGTTGATTTGTTTGATACTGATTGGAACAAATTTCAAGCTTTCTTGAATTTCAGTATTAGTATACTCGTCGAGAGGAAAATCAAAGTCCATACTATGTTTGAGACGAATCCTAAATATACAGTGGACTGCGTCATGTCCCACCCTCTGCCCATCATGGCCCTCATTGAATTTGTAGGATAAGTCAGTGGTAGGAAGTATGTGATCGGCTTTAGCGAGGCGTGCATGCCTTCAATTGGCCACATGACTCCTAAGCAGAGAATAATTTACATTGCTGATGAAATGCGACCTCATATTATGGTACTTACCGCAGAGTTCAATAAACGGCAGAAAACTTCCCATAGATACGTACATCGCTGTCCTTTCAACGCTGCACACGCAGGATATGACAAACCCTGGCAATAAAATTAAGACAATCAAAACAGAAATTTTCTATTTTAGAACTCTTTTACCATAACTCATTCCGCAAATCCCTGACATGAGTGTGAGTATATAGATGAGAAACACATTTCCACAGTTCTCTACATGAAAAACATAAACACTCAGCATAATCATCATTAAGCAGACTCCAATCAGCATCGCCAGCTGTGTTATAATAAGTGAAGACAATATCTCAAATACAGTTATCCCTAAAATCAAAAATGAACAAGTGATACAATTATAATTGCAGTGTGATAATTGAGAAATTTAAAAGTTACACTTTCTGCTGAAACATTGTTATGTTTTTTATTAGCTTTTATAACTGTTAAAATTTACCTAACATAATAATTAATTATGCTGTAATAATCAGTTGTTTGCTATACCTGTGACAAGACAGCGTTCAAAAATTCCTTCATTTCGCTCGAAAAGCATTGACCCAGACGTTGTCAACACAGATAGGAAAAAAGCGATCCTGTTAACATGAAACCTATGTTATTATCCTAGCAAGATTGTGACAATTAAAATAAATTATTAAGTGCATTACATAATCAAGTAAAATTTTTAGTATTTTGAAAGAGTCTTACGTTAATAGTACACCTGGTGCCATGAAACTATTGAAGTTAGGCAGATTACTACCATAAATTGGCTTCTTAAACTGAAATTTATAAACTTTGTAAGTATATTAATAAATTATTGATAATATTAGTATAATTATTGCACTAATTGGCACATACATGAACAGGTGACATAAGTACTCCTTCTGTCAAATCACAGGCTTGCGTCACATCGGTTGCTAAATCTTTCAGGCTGAGAATCAAATCACGCCGAATTATATAAGCCAGTTGTTGGTCTAAAAAATTAATTAATTAAAGGGGTTTGTGACTAGTAAAACAAAATATGCACTAAATATGATTATGATAGAGTAAATATATCGATTCAATAGTTGAAAAGGCTAGTTCTACCCACTAACTGTTCAACAAAATATGTTCCAACCTGACATGTCCATATGTATGCCAATTTCGCTTTCCTCCAAAGTGGTTTCATTTGCCATTTTTCCATATTCAAATCTATCGGCCAAGTTGTCAGAAAATCTTTCAGGAAAATCAATGAACGCCCAGGCCCATCCTCTTCGCACAGCTTCAATCGCTTTGTCGTAATCTTGGTATGGCACCTGGAACAATTATTTATAATTAATTATTTTATTAAGCATGAGACATTTTTCTATAACCACCAGTTCATGGTTCCGCTTGTTAAGGTGTCGAAGAAATCTGCAAGATAGCATTTTCAAATCACAGGACGAGTTGTACGAGCATAATATGTTCTCAGGAGATTCCCGATTTAGAACTGCTAATTTCAACCCTTTAGGGTCAGTTCCGACGGCATTGTAGAATAGAAACATTTCAATAAGCGGTAGAAAAAAGATGAACAGAACCATACTAAAAAGTAACCATGGGTAAATATTTATCTTCATTTTAGAAATAGGCAGCAGCTTTATAAATTTACCCATAATTTCTGATCATCCAGAGTGCGTTTTTCCAAACCAGTGCTTTTATGTGATGGGGTTTTATTAACATTGTAATATCTTTCCAAATATCCGTTTTCTCTTCCTTTACCTCCATCTCTTCAACCTCCTAAAGACATGAAAATAAATTGAAAATTTTGAATATGAGATTTTTTAAAAACTTACAGGTTGAGTAGGTGTAACTACAGGTCTTTCGTTATTACTATGTCTTGAAACGTTCTGATCATAGCTTAACTTAAGGAAGACTTCCTCAAGTGAATTTAAACCAAAATTTTGTAACAAACCTAAAGGAGATTCTTCTATGAGCAGTTTTCCTTTCCTCATCATACCTATCTGAAAATGAAAATAGTAAGCCAACTAATATAAAAATTTATATTTATAATAATTAATACTTTGTTAGCCTGTTTGGTTTCGTCGATATAATGTGTGGTTATAATAATTGTGGTTTTATTAAGCGTTGTTATTTCCACAAGATGCTCCCATATTCTGAAAAATATATTAATGTGTATTTATGTTACAAAAATGCTTAAAATCAAAAATCAATAAAAATAAAAATGCTTAAATTTTACCTTTCTCTTAGCACTGGATCAAGACCTACAGTCGGTTCATCTAAAATAAGAAGTTCAGGTTGGTGTATAAATGTGGCGACCATTGAAACCCTCCTCTGCTGCCCTCCACTTAAATATTTGACATAAGCGTGTCTGTTAGGGAGCTGCATGAGGTCAAGGAGAAAATCTGCCCTTTTTTCTACGTCCTTTGCAGTCATTCCATTCACCCATCCAAAGTACCTCAGCGTCTCCCATATCGTGAATTCCCCGTATAAAGCAACTTCCTAATATACCATATTATTAAAAAGCCAATTTGGTTGAAATGGGTTAAATGGTGTTTACTTGTGGCATATAGCCGACCCTAGGGCCAGGTATTCCGCTTCCTTTGCTCCCAGGATGGCCTCCTAAGGCGTAAATTTCTCCAGACTGGATGTGCTTCCTTCCAACTATGCAGCTTAGAAGAGTAGTTTTACCACATCCTGATGGGCCGAGTAAACCATATCTTTAAAAATAGAAAAATCTATAGAAATTTGGTAAAGCTTAAACCATTTTCAAGATATGATAAATGACCGATGATGAAAAATTTCTATATTTCACCTCAAAAAAATCGAAAAACAATTTATCTAGTTGAAATATATTCTACAGTGACTTTAAAATAAGTCTTTCTTTCTCTAATAAATTCATACATATATGTAAAATTTTCACTCACATCGATCCTTTGAGCACAGTCATATTCAGGTTGTCCAGTACAACTTGACGGTCACCTCCAGAACCGTAAGCTTTGTACGCTCTTCTCACCCGAACCGCCTGCTGCTCCAGGTGCACCTCTTGTAACATCCTGTAAATATACAAAAGGTTCTAATATGCTGTACTTATAACTTCAAGTATAAGAAAAATAACCAACATTAATAAAATGTTTCAATATTTGAAATTTCTAATTTAGTAATTGAATTTCCTTACAAAGAAAAAATCTAAATAATAATTTTTTTGTTATAATGTTCATACATAAATTTCAGTGAAGTGAAGCATTAATCAAAATTTACAAAATTGTTTAGATTATTTATAAATATGTTTTTTAAAAAGTTTTTTTTAAGTTTTGCAATTGCAAATTGATGCGTTCAAAACATTCAATAAACTCAAAAGCTCATTATTAAAATAAATTGTAATGTTTGGTCATATTAAGCTGATCAATTATCAAGATACCACATATTTCATAGTCTAAAACATGTCTTAGAAAATGCCTTGTGATTGCTTTATAGCATACAAAAAACATGTTTTGTGCCTGGTGGCCCCTCACAAAGCATATATAACATATTTATACCCTGAGGATGAAAAAACAGTTTTTGATTAAGAAACAAATTCATATAATATTGCCATTTTTGATAAAATTCTACCTATCTGTAATGAGATATTAAAGTAATATACATAATTTTGCAAGAACCTTGACATATAGTGGATGTAGTTCCTACTTTTGTTTATTCTACAACAAATTATAACTGACTCATTATGGTAATTTTTTGAATTTTTATTTATTTTAAAGCTACAAATAAAACTTTAAACACCCTTACATTTACATATTTTATAAATAAATTTAGTTTTATAAACACAGCAAAATAATAATAACAATAATAATGATAAGGAGTGTTGGTGGCGCAACAGTTTAGGTATTGACACAGTGCTCATGACTCTAAGACAAAGGTCCTGGATTCGAACCCAACATACTTACAAATGTTTTTTAAAAAAAAATTTTTCCTAAAACACCGGCACCCTGAGGAATCACATAACATCGTAGTTGAAATACCCTCATAACATAATAATAATACAACATACAATGAAATAACAAAATGATAATGTCAATAATATATTAATTATTTATAAATGAATGATGAAACCATATTACAACAGAAAAGCAGAAAGAAAAAAAATGAAAAGGAAAAGAGAAGAAAAGGAGATGATTCATGTCGTTTTTAAAAAACTTAGACCCAATGGATCTGAAACAAGCCAGTGAGGAAGACGAGTATACTTCCCAAGGAAGCAAATTCATAATCTTGACCCTGCAAGTCTGAAGGATAAGGCTAAAGTTTTAGAGGAGTTTTGAAGGCTTAGTATATGATTGGTACATTTGGATAAAAAATGTGGGAAAAAAGTTGATAGATATTAAGGACATTTGTTTGATTTCATTTTAAATATATATATTAAATCTCTAAGTATATAATTGCTTAGAATGTTAAGGTTGCTGAAGACATTAATACTATATAATTTACAAGTATACAGAAAAAAAATCAAATTACCAATTTTTGAATACAATATTTTTTATCGATAGTTATACTTTAATACAAAACTGGAGAACATTATAAAATTTTGTTGTAATTATAAAAATTCTATAAATTAACATTTTTGGAACTTAATTGGTTTAATAATTAAGTAAATAAGGTTTTACTTCTGGACTTTTTTCCATCAATTTGAATGAAAAATAATAGAGACCTTATTAATAATTAAAGGGTGTCTCTCAATCAAACATAAATTATAGTAATTATTAAATAAGGCCTTTTACTGTCATGAGACGGCAGTATTGGGTTGTCCGGAAAATAATGCAGGATTTTAAGTTTTCATTTAAAAAAATCTATATAAAATATTCTGTTTACGTTTACAGGATTACTCATTTGTATGAATGTCAACACTTATTAATCCTCTTCCAAATGATATTGTTTGNTATTTTGATTAAAGAACATTGCTTTAAAGTAACTAGTTTCTTTTTTTTTGTTTAATACCAAAATCCTGCATTATTTTCCGGACAACCCAATATTTTGTGTCCTTACGGTATGTAACCAGTTGAAAAGCTAATAAAATATTACTGTTAAAAGCCAGGTTGAACAGGAATTGGAGAACCACTTTAGTTCCAATTTTCAATGTTTAATAAGGTAAAATTGCTTTCATAGAAATAAAAGTAAAGGGTAACTGGTTAACAATGGATTCACATTTTGTTTTTAATACAAACACCCGATGGGTTGGCAATGTTAATTACACTTATTTGTCTAAATCCATCCAGTTGCTGGTTCGCTTAATTATTTTAATGATTAGTTACTAAACTAGTTTTTTCAAGACCGCAATTAGTCATTCATGTCAGTGTCAGACATAAACACTATTTGTAGAGAATAAAATTGTCAACTAATTACTATAAGCATAATTCTGTTGTGAAATGAATATTTGCTAATTCTAAGATAATTGTGAACTTTATCTACATGAACAGGTTGGGCAAAAAACACTTATAATACATACATCCCCCACTTACTGTAAATGTACTAGAGTATATTTTACAAATATGTACATTATGTACATTTATAGAAGTAAGTAGAGAAGAGATGTAATATGTAGCTTGCTCACTGAGCAACATAATTAAACAAAACTTTATAAAATTAATTTGTATCGAATTTTTTCGGTAATATTATCTAAATGTTGTACATAACGTATTTAAATGATAGGAGTTGAAAATTCATTAGTTGCTGTTTTTTATGTGTGCTTCATGCATTATCTCACTAAATTATCGATATAATTTCTTCGAACATCAAACTAGTCACAACTATTGTGGCAACAATTATAATTAAATGAGTTGGGTGATTCTAGCGCATTTTTTTTATATTTTAGGAATAAAAAAAATATTTCCTTTAATAGATTACTAAATGTTCGATATAATTAAATGAAACGTCCAAGACTTATAGACCTGATATACCATCAAACTTTGTATTGAGGACCTCACACAGGGTTTGAACATGACTTTCATACTTAATACTTAATAAGTAAGGGGTTATTTCAAATTATTCTTGTGCTGTCACAGTGGCAGTTAAAGCAAATTTAATTATTATGTTAATTGAATAAATTACTTATTTTATTTTAAATGAAAAATTATTTAGGATTACATCGGTCTGAAGACCGTTTTGATGTATAATCCCAAGTATTTTAATTTTATTTATTTATTTAGTTATTTTTATAATATTTCAGCAGCCTCGGTGTCGAGTAACATTTTGGAACGATATTCCATAATGTGGAATGTAGTCAAAATGAAAAAATAGAATTATTTGATGAGTAACATGTTCTTTGATGAAGTAACTTCATTTTGTCTTTCTGAATTGTCATACTTCATGATGTGTATTTTGTAATGTGGCTTTTTTTAAGAAGAATTAAGAATTGAAATTGAGAAGTGAACTTCGAGCATCTTCTTCCTAACTGTGACGCGGAATTCCGGATTTGCTCGTTTATTGATTCAAACAACTTAACGAGGTACCAATAAAAAGAAATAGGGGGGGCCTTAAACCGTAGAATGGTGGCATTATTCAATCATTCCTACCGAGGACAACGTGTTATATTTTTCAAAAAAAAAAAGACCAGTGTTTCTCACGGACTTGTTCGCATTTGTCATTTGATCGAATTTTTTTATGGTACTTCCGGCAGGCAGCCTTCCACCCAAGTCCAACGCGTCGGTTTTAATTACAAAACCGGCAACAGTATGCCGACCAAAGAACGATTTCCAAACGAAAACACAGTTCAAATACGTTAACCTTCAAACCAACTAATATCGGTTTCAATCAATAAATGTACATATCAACTTGTAACAAGGGGCATCTGGAAATATGAAAGCTTATAACAGAAGCATAAAAGAACAGCTATGTGTATGAGTAAAAATTATACTAAATATTTAAAAAATGTATGAGACAATGGTTTAAAAGTCATTCAACTGCCGAGCTTTCTGTGATTACTTCGCCGTCACCAGAGCAAAAACAAACCAAATCAGTAGTCGTCAGTACGCCTTACAAAGCTTGATAAGCATGTGTTCTTCATAAAATGTCAACCAAATGTGTGCTACATAAACCATAAGTTTTTAGATTGAATTTAATTTAAATTGATTATTTTATACTTATACTTACTAATTATTTACGTGAAATGTCGACAGATAGATAAATAGATAGATTGATAGTTAAAAGTTTATATGTAGGTAGGAGGATAGAAAGGTAGAGATAGATGAATAGATATATAGAAAGATAGATAGAGATAGAGAGAGAGAGAGAGTGAGAATAGATAGTGAGAAGTGGAAAGAGAGAGAATGGGAGCGAGAATGATTAAATATTTTATTTTAGCTTGCAAAATTAGGTCTTTCTTAGTTTTGATTGAACAAAGATTAGCCTTTGTAATAAATAGAATGAATATGAAGATAAATTAAGCAAATGGATTGATACTTAAATACATGTAGATAGAGAGCTAGGTGTAAATCGATAGAAATAGATACAGATATATAGAGTGAGTGAGTGAGAGAGAGAGAGAGAGAGAGAGAGAGAGAAAGAGAGGAGGGAGAGAGAAAGGTAGAGAGAGAGAGAAAAGGAGTTAGAGGAGATGAAGAGAGGGAGAGTGAGTGAAAACTAACTAATAAGTGAGTGAAAAAAAGAAAGACAAATTAAGAGTAAGAGTTAGATAGGTAGCTAGGCTGATAAGTGGAGAAAGAAAAAAGAGAGAGAGAGAGAGAGAAAGAGAAAGAGAGAGATAGGAAAGAGAGTGATAGAGGGAGAGAGAGTGTGTATGCAGTATAGTAGTATAAAAAGTAAAAAGAGAAAAGAGAATAGTAGCAAGATAGAGGGAAAAATGTGAGAAGAAGAGGAAAAAGCGACAAGGAGGGAGAGAGAGAGAGAGAGAGAGAGAGAGAGAGAGAGAGAGAGAGAGAGAGTGAAGTACAGAGAAAAGAAAGATAAAATGAGAAATAGATAGCTAGAAATATAAAAGGAGAGAGAGAAAAAAATAAAAAGAGGGAGAGAGAGAGTAAGATAGAGGAGAGAGAGTGTGTCTGTAAAG